ATTTAATTATTAATTGATAAAAAAGTTACATATTAAATGTAATCATTTTAATAAATTTTAATAATTATTACTTAGTTTAATAAATAGCTAATTAACTATTAATTAATGAATGTAAAATTATTATTTAATATAAATAATTTAATAAAATTATTATTAATGATGAATTAGTTCAATAAATATTTAATTATTGATGAGTGTAATTTGACATAAAAATTTGAATTAAGCTTAACTAGTTTTAATAATTATTATATTAGTATTCAATATTAATATTTTAACTGCAATAATCATTTGAAAATCATGTAGTGGTTTCTGAAGGCATGACTATGAAATTCAGGATTTATATTTTTGGCAAGAACATGCTTCTAGGACTTTTAACCAAATAAATTCCATTAAATCCTACTAAAATTGCAAAATTATTTCTCCAGATTTATTAGGATTTACTTATTAACGTACCAAACTGTTTTTCAGGATTTAACTCATAAATTTTATGTATCTGGATTCACATGACTTGCTAGATCCTATTTAAACAAAATTCTGTTTGCGACCAAACAAGGCCTTCATGATGTCATAAATATAATTTTACAGGATTTACAAAGTCCTATTTAAACTAAATCCTACATGCAACCAAATACCCCTAAGCACTCTAGATTTGATTGTATAACTTAGTAGCTCATAGGTCACCAAAGGACCAAGCATAAGCATTGTAACTTTTAGTTTTTATGGTATAAGTTTTGGATTTGAGATTGTATCTTGGATTCTCGCCTCAATATCCATTTCACTTGGAATTATTTGTTTATCTGACTAAAAAAGCATATAAGGAAAAGCCTCTTGAAATATATCAGAAAGATCAAATAAAAAGTAGATATGAGAGCTTGAAGATTTCTGAAGGAAGGTACAAGGCTAGACAAACAAGCATTTAACACTTGTCATCATGCAAAGAGATGTAGTCTGCCTTTGGTTAAGGAAGGCAAAAGGAGAAGGCAGATCATATTGAAGATTGGTGATAATGTACATTGATTACATCCTTTTTTTTATTTGAGTATATATTCTATAATAAATGCCAAGCCTTAAACTTTTTGAGCTTTTTCTCGATGATGATCATGATCATGATCATGTCGAGTAAAAAAGAATTATAACTTCTATGGAAGTCATGTAAAATAGCAAAGGCTACTCTAAGAATAAAGCACTGTAGAATGATCACTACCACTAAAGGGGAGTCAAGGTGGCTTAACAAGTTTTTTAAAAAGGGACAAAACAAAGCTAGAAAGGTGTTAGAGCAAGTAACAAGATGAAAATGTATTCTCATCTATAATTATTCGTAGTAGTAAATTGAAGAAAGGTGGCAGAGCAAGTAATATGGTGAAAAGGAGTCCTCATCATTATCTATTGTAGTAGCAAAGGTGGAGCCATGATCAGGAAGCTCCTATCATCCACTTATCAAGCTCTAAGTTTAGCTCAAAGGTGCATGGGTTTAGGCTTGGCAAGGTTTAGACATGCAGGATGAGATCATTCTACATGGAAGCTAACATAGTGGTAGGCTATAAATTACATGAGCAGGGAATACAGGTGCTAAATTCAAAATTCCTAGTTTCTTTCTCAACAAGGTAGTGTTTTCTAAACCTGGAAGGGTATTAAAGGAGTTCCTTACACAATTAGGAGAAAGTATCATGAGGGCTTATTTCATAGAGGTTTTAAGGAATGGGGGATTTGGCCCTCTTTCTTATTTTTAGGAAAATTTTTTATTTAATTCTATAAATACCACTTGAATTTGTACTATTTTTCATCGTCCATTGGCATGAAAAACTATAGACCCCCTATATTTTTCCATAGCAAAGTGCCTCTTTCGTCTCTCTCTCTCTCCTCTCATTTTCTTCCTCTCTTCTCTGCAATTGTAGTGCATCAAGGATGAAAAGAAATAGCATCTAGAGGAAATCAAGAAGGAGAAGCAATCAAGGTCAGGGCGGAGGGCAATATAAACAAGGAGTACGTTAATGAAACCAACATTATAAGAAACCCAAGGGATTTAAGATCAATGTTGGGAGACAATGTCGACAGGGAGCTCCTTAGAGGCTGGGTGATTATCTCTATCAAGTCTTACTCTTGCTTCTTTTTTTGGTACTTGCTGGTTCTTAACTAAACCACACAAACAAAAGAAAATACCAGCAATTACTCTTGGGTGATTACATTGCCTTTGTTTTATTCTTGCTAGCCAACCTTATCGCTACCTCTACTGTTCCTAATTTCTTTTAAAGATTCCTTTTACAAGGAACACTCTCTTTTCCTTCAACATCAAGTTCACCTTTCTCAAGTTTTGACAGAAGGCCTTATCCAAGAATCTCCTAAACATTAATTCGATACATTAGTGCTAGACTCTAGTCCTTGGTGAATTGGATCAGATGTTTGGTGATGTAAGTTTGGTTTAGCAGATAAACAAAAAGGTTCTTATGATTGTATTAGGATTTAGTCAAAGGCCATGATGAACTTGCTTTGCAAGTCACACTAGTGCGTGATAATTATGTGCTACGTTAAAAAGGGACATTTTCTTATTGTTTTAAATTGAGACTGATGTTTACTTATGCTGCTTGCTAATTGATTTTAAGACACATCTTACACATCATTCTTTTTTATTATTTAATAAACCTGTATAGCTTATGGTATTAGGTTTTATTTTCTTCAATTTTTTTATATTTGGTCATGATCATGATGCATGATTGTATTAACTCTACTCCTTTGATTTTCTAGGTTCCCACCGCTGAAGATCTCGTCGTGAGATTAGTATCATCAGTTGACACAAAATTTGAAGTAAAACAATGTTTTCGTGAGATCTTTAAAGAAGATAACTATCCCGTTGAATTTGCTTACAAATCAAAGGTACAAATTTACTAAAGTTACATTTAATGGTTTTCATTGTTAAGTACGTTTCAATTAAAATTTCAGAGTGCGCCTATGTATAGGGAAGGGTTTAAGTTAAAAAAAACTAATTCTTATACTCGATCAATTCAACTTACCAAAAGATTGCTTCATTTTCTTTTGACTGTGACTTGCTATGACAACTCAATTAACTTCATACAAACTGCTTCAGGCAGTCATGTTGTTTCAGGTGATTGAAGGTGCTGATGTACTCCTTTTTGCCATGTATGTCCAAGAATATGGTTCAGAGTGCTCAGAACCAAATAGAAGACATGTCTGTATCTCATATATCGACTCAGTCAAATACTTCAGGCCTGAAGTAAGGGCTGTGTCAGGGGAAGCTCTGCGGACTTTTGTTTATCATGAACTCTTGGTATGATTATTTTTTTTTTCTTTTACTTTTTGTAGTACACTTTTTTCTGCATATTATGCATAACTGCAAGATTTAGATGTAACGACTCTTTAATTTGGATTGTTCCTAACTATTAAAATTACTCTGGTTTCTCTTCTAAAGTTCCATGCAAAGACAGATTGAACTGGATATAACAACTTGCTTCTTTTTTCATTTGCTAGATAGGGTATCTTGATTATTGTAAGAGAAGAGGTTTTACAAGCTGCTACATATGGGCTTGCCCACCTTCGAAGGATGATAATTACATTTTGTATTGTCATCCTATGAGTCAAAAGATTCCAAAATCTGACAAACTGCGAGAGTGGTATGTTGTCATTTTGTATCGGGGAAATTTTCATACATACCACAATTATTATGTATTTACATATATAACACCTAAATTTTTGTATTTACATTTAAACAGTTTGGTTTCATAAACCTATGAATGAAAAGGTGTATTTCACTTTTAAAAAGCAAGTAAAAGTTGTATTTTTTATTTGATATTAAAGATTTGAATTCCATGCATGTGAATATGAATATTTGTAAATACATAAGAATTGTGTGGTATGTATGTGAATGCCCTTTTGGTGTATGTGCTCCGGTTTACTTCTCGTATTTTTGAGATCTTGAATTTTGTTTTTTTCATTAAAACGGTTCAACAGGTACCAGAAAATGATAAGGAAGGCTTCAAAGGGAAAGATTGTCATGGAGAACACTAATCTTTATGACCATTTCTTTGTACAGACAAGAGAATCCATAGTCAATATAACAGCAGCTCGCTTGCCTTACTTCGATAGAGATTACTGGCCGGGAGAGGCAGAGAATTTAATCCAGAGTTACAATGAAAAGAGGCCTCAAAAGAAGGCCAAGGCAGCTATTGAAAGAGCATTAAGGGCAGCTAAACGCGATGCTTCTTCGATAGAAAATGAAAAGGACGTGCTGCTAATGAACAATGTATTAAAGTATTATCATTTGTTTTTTTATTCTTCTATTATGTCTGCTTGTGCTTTTGCTCAAAACATGTCACCATGATTTTTAAGATTGCTGTCCAAAACAAATAGCTGCTTTCCTGCTAATAGTTATTATTATTAATTTGAAGATTTATAGATTACATGCTTGAAATATCTCTTCCGTTATTTAGAATACCTTTTCTTTATTTTTGGTCCAATGACATTAATTATCAGTATTTTTTAAAATTTATCATATGTAAGTCCCTATTCTCCATCTTAAATGACTTCAAGTTTTTTTTTATAGATAGGCAGTTTTTATTGGTAGCTGCAACATTGCCTATTTGTTGTTCTAGTTAATGCTCAATTTGGTAATTTCTGGCATGCGATTTTCTTAAATTTAAATTTATTGTCTTAACTGATGTTCTTTTTATATTATCTTTTTTTTTTCCCTTAAACCTGCCATTTTTTTCACTTCAACAGCTTGGAAGTACTATTCGACCGATGAAGGAAGATTTTATTATCCTTTTTCTGCATCATACATGTGGGCATTGTTGCCAACCTATTATATCTGGAGGGTGTTGGGTTTGCAACATGTGTAAGAACTTTCAACTCTGTGGAAGGTTTGTATTCTGTATTTATGTTGAAGCTTCTTTTTTTGCTATTTAAATTCAAAGTTTATTTTGGATTTATTGATATGTGATTTTTTTTCATATATAAATATAAACATAGCTATTATTGATACAGAAAATTTTACTATTGAGATATAGTTTGCATGGTTGCACATGACAAATTATATAATTATAAATTCTACAATCACACTTATCTATCTCATAGAAAGTATCCCACTAAACAGTATGGTTTCAGTTTGTTTTTCTTATAGCATTCATTTTAGTTCCTATTTTAGCAACTTGAAATGCATGGTGATTATTGGCTTAATTCTTTGGCTTTGGGTGGTTGGTTTTGGTTTTATATTCTTGTCCAATACGTGGTTGCAGTTGTAACTTTTTATTCTATTGGGTCGTGTTAGCTTAATCTTTTTTATATTTATGGTTATCACTTTGAGTTTTATATGATTTGATTATTGTTAAATTTGATTTAGTATATTTGTTTTTCCAATTACTATTTGCGTGGACCATTATATTGTTGCTCATGTAGACAGTTATAGTGCTACTCTTGTGGAGTTTTTTACATGGGCAGTACCTAGTTTTCCACTACTATTTATGTAGAGAACTCAACTGAATTAGAGTTAATTCCTACATGTTCAATTCCTTATCCTTGTTGTATACATATTTTTTTTATCAAATCATTATTAGGCTTTAACTGTTTCACATAAGGAGGATCACTAGAAACTGATGTGTGTGTTTTGGTAGTAAGAATAACTATTCCTCTTCAATTTCATAAGAGACGTTTACAACGTCGATAGCGGGAGGAGTCTACTAGAAAGCCACGAATTCTCCATTCGAAAAAATAGAAAACTAACAAATTTCAGAAGTAGGAAATACAAAAAAAAGGGAAGACACTAATAGTAAAATTACTTAAAATTTCAACTCTCCCTCAAGTTGAAGCATATTTAAATATATCATGCCGAACTTGCTTACAAGTAGCTTAAAACTAGGGTTGAAATTTTTTTTGGTGAAGATATTTACTATGTGTTGAGTAATAGGAATAACATCATGCAAATTGTTCCATAATCTAATTTTCCTTTTATGAAGTGCTTGTCAATCTACACATGCTTTGTTTGATCACGCTACACTGGATTTTTTACAATGCATGTGGTTGTTTTATTGTCACTGGGTAACTTCATTGGAATGTTTATCATGGTCCATAATTCTTTAAGAATTCTCTTCAATCATAACATCTTATATACTCAATTATCTACGACCTAATATTCTGCATCGACACTACTTGCAACCACATTCTGTTTCTTTATCATTTAACCAAATTTACCAAAATATAGGTATAATATCCGAAAGTCAATCTCCTATTAATAACTGAGCACACCCAATGTGCATTAGTGTACACCTCTATATTTTGTTGTGTGGTCTTTTGAAAGAGTAAGTGCTTGTCTGGTCCTTTTAGGTATCTAAGAATCCAATTAAGTGCTTCAAGTTGTTTCTCATAGGGTGAATGCATAAATTGACTTACTATACTCATAACAAAGGCGATATCCGGTAGTGTATATGCTAAGTATAGCAAATTTTCTACCAAATTTGATACTGAATTGTATTCATTGGGTTACCTTTTTTCCCATCTCCCAATTTGTGATTGGGTTCAATTGAAGTGTCTTCAAGTTTACACCCACTCATCCCAGTTTCCTTTAATAGATCAAGAACATACTTCTTTTGGGAAAAAACAATTACTTTCTTCGATCTAGCAACATCCATGCTTAGAAAATATCTCAAAGGTCCTAAGTCTTTGGTCTCAAAAACAGATGATAGGGAATTCTTCAAACGATTCATCTCATATAGTTCATCTCATGTGAGAATTATATCATCCACATACATGGTGAGCATAGCTATATTGTCATCTTTGAATGTTTAAAAAATATTGTATGATCTCTTTACCCTTGAGTATATCCCTGAACTTTGACAAACATTACAAACTTTGCTAACCACACTCTCTGTGAATGCTTTAACCCGTATAAGATTTGTCTTATTTTACACACTTTTATGCCACATTTCTCACTAAATCTTAAAGGCTCATCCATATACACTTCTTCTAAGCCACCCATTAAGAAAGACATTTTTATATTTAACTGTTATAGGGGTCTGTCATGATTAGCTGCAAGTGATAGAAGAATTGTTATACAATTTAGTTTTGTGAGTAGATGAAATGTCTCTAATCAATGTCATAGGTCTGAGGGAATCCCATAACAACTAGTCGTGCATTGTACCATTTTAAAGAACTATGAAAATTACACTTGACTGTAAACACCCATTTGCACCTGATAGTTGTCTTCCCATGCTTCCCACATGATATGTTTTTCAAGAGCGTTCATTTCTTCTAAGACAACTTCTTCCCCTTAGGAATTTTCAAGGCATTATGCACAATATTGGAAATCTCCATACAAGGCAATTGTGAGGTAAAAGTATAAAAAAGGAGTGAGATTTTCATATGACACATAATGGGATAATGGATATTTGGTGCAGAACTTATTCCCTTATAATCAACAATGGGAAGACTGGACTCATTAAACTTAAGAATAGAACTAAGATCAAGTTTAGAACTAGAAGACTCAAAACTCAAAAATGAAATGGCCTGAACACTGGGTAAAAGATCAACGGTAACATAACTTGGAGGGTTCATGGATTTTGGGCTTTGCAAATGATTTATAGGCCCTTTCTTTTGAGTTGTCTTTTGTCGCAAGTAAAATAATTTTAAATGATACTAATGTCGTAGTTCTTTCCCCTGTTTCTTTTTTGCTAGAATTATGAGTTGACATTGTAGAATGGCATGAATTATCTTTAATATCTAAAGAACTCGACCATCTTTCTCTTGATATAATATAGCTTGAATTTTCCAGTTGAACACTCACTATTGGGGAGATATTATTTTGTCAGTCTTCTTTTTGAAAAAGACATTGAAAAATAGTAGTTGAATCATTGTTTTGTCCCCTTCGAGGATGAAGTGAAAAAATATTATAATTTAAAAAAGTTGACAACCACGGTGATACATTTTCTTAGAATTGGGATCGAAATAGTTATACTCTTTTTGGCTAGAAGCATAACTAACAAACACGTATTTTTGGTTCAAGCTTCAAGTTTTTCTTGATTAAATTATGAATTTAAATGAAAGTAGTACACCTAAATATCTTTAGTGGTAAAGAAGATGAGAGCTAAATCATTGGGTATATTTTGTGAAAAACATCAAAAGGTATTTCAAATGTTAAAATTTTATTGGACGTTCTATTTATGAGGAATGTAACAGTAAGAATGATTTTACCTTAAAGATAACATTCCCCTGACTACTTTCAATAAGTGTTTGTTTTTTCTTTCAACCACAATTTTATTGTGGAGTGTCAACATAAGTGCTTTGATGAAAACTATTCTTTTTTAAAAAAATTGGCCCAAAATATTTTTGAAATAGTCTTTAAGTTTTATCACTCTGTAATATTTGAATCATTCTTTGAAATTGGTTTTATATCATGGTGTAAAAATTTTTTAAAATTATTTTCACTTCATAATTTTCTTTTATTAAATAAACTTAACTTTACCTAGCGTAATCATCAATCAAATTCACAAAATAGCTTTTTCAGAATATGTAAGATTTTTATAAGGAAATCATATATCATTATAAATCAGAGTAAATGATATAGTTGGTTTTTAGATTTGAGGAGAAACGTTATTTACCGAGTTGCCAGACTTCACACTAAAACAAAAACAACTTTTATTTTAAATAAATTTGGAAACATGCATTTTAAATATTGAAAATTGAGATGACATAACCTAAAATGTCATAACATAATATCATTGTCTTTGGAAACAAGAACAAAATTTAAATCAATATTTTGACATTGTTTACTCAAGTCAAGTACTTCATCAACATAATAGAGTCCATTTTTTTTTTAGCACTGTCATTCATCATTTTAGCAGTCAATCCTGAAACTCACAAGAATATAAACTAATCTGACATTTATATCGAGCAGTATTTTTTCTAATGGACAATAAATTACTAGATAAATTGAGAATATGAAGATTATTACGAAGGGTTAACAATGTGGTGAGTTTGGCAATACCAATTCCAACAATTACCAAGTGTGAAATAGAAATGTAGCATTATTGGGTGTTAAGTGTTTTTATTTATTTTATTTTTTATCAAGGCGGGAATATGATCGTGAAGTAATTAAGGCAAAAGTTTCAAAGGGATAAGTTGAATTCTCAGTACCTCCTTTTACTTCAAGGTGGGATTATTTATTTTCTTTCATAGGAGTTACAATTATTTATGTGTGCTCACACGTTTATGTGTGTGTGCATAGTTATAATTCTGTAATTGTTTGAATTATTTAGGTTGGACCAAATATTCGTCTTCATCTAATTTTTCCTACCTGTCCATGCACTTCTTGGCCAGACGCTTGCCATTTCTTTTATTTATCTTGTTTCCAAGCACTACTCGCCAGTTTTTATTTTATTTTATTTTCACTTGAAGATAAAATTTACAAACAACTTCCAAGGTGATTATGAAAGTTTGTATGCTTGTTGATGTACATGGCGAAGCATCCAATGAACGCAGTCAAGCTAAAATTTTCATACTATTGAAGTTTTTTTGACATCCAAACTATTTTCTTTCTACTAGTCTTTTATTTTGTTTCCATTATTAGTAGTTACATGCCCTTTTATGCAAATCTTATGTATTTTCTCTCCATTAATCACTCAGGTGTCATAGTTTCGAGGGCAAACTTCAGCATACAGATAGACATCCAATCAATGCAAGGGATAAGCATTCCTTTCACAAGGTGAGGTTCTCACATGCCCTATTTGTTAAGCACTTCTAATGGCTTTTAAGCTGATCCTTCCATGAACTTTTCAGGTTGAACTAGAAGGCGTACCCCAAGATACTTATGATGAGGATGAAACAAGACAGTGCGAAATTTTAACCACTAGACTAGAATTTTTAAATTTTTGTGAGGGTAACCACTACCAATTTGACACTCTTCGCCGGGCCAAACATTCAACAATGATGATCCTTTATAATTTACACAATCCAGCACCACCTTTTTCTGAATCCTCACACAATGTTGGAATGGATAATGCTCAGGGCATGCTTTCCTCGTCCTCATCCCCTAATTGCCAATTTGATTCAGATTATCATGAAGAATGTAATGGTCAACCTAAATTGTGTCCGAACACTCGAATGCAAAGCCCAGAGGTATCATCTTTCTATCGTATAAATATTTATTCATTTAGTTGTTATGGTATGCTGAACTTAGTTGATTTGTGACATCCTGTCAAAATAGTTCTTTGACCTTTTGTAAGGAGCCATTTAGTCCCAAAATATAAAGATTATCAATTTAGTTCTCATATTCTTTTAATGGGTGCTAATATAATCCTTCATGGGTGTTAATATAATCCTTCATGGGGATTATTTCAGCCCATATTAAAGAAGAAGAAGAACAACAACAATTCTTTATCCCACCAAGTGGGGTCGGCTACATGAATCATTTTTCTCCATTGTGTCCTATTGAGTGTCATATTTTCATTTTAAATAGTTAGAGTACTATTTAGGCACTTTTATATATTTTGGGACTAAAATGGTCCCATGTAAATATTTAGATGATTATTTTGTCACTTTACTTCAAACTGATATTAGTAATGAAGCTGTAAAGTTATTGAAGTTTATGTTGTTCATTTTCAGTGAAGAAACAATTTTGCAAAATAATGCGGAAAACAAATTGACACAACAAACAACCAAACACAATGCTATTTACGTAGTTCGACGCAAATTCACTTACGTCCACGAGGAGAGGTTGGGGAAAATGGAAAAGTCGACCGAATTAGGGTTACAACTTAATACACACCAAGTCATCTATAATTCTTCCTAGAAATAAAAGGGGATTATGACATATAAATTAGGAATAATTCAAATATAGGAAAGTTCATGTAATTTAAGTCTTATCTAATTAGGTTTCATAATATACAAAAGATCATTTAATTAAATTTTCTTAAATTAGTTTACCTCATAATAATTTTTCTAATATACACACTTCTTAATATTATATTTACCACTTTATATAACAATCTCCACCTCATCTTGCACTTCTAAATAAGTTGGAGATTACCAAAAATGAGTTCTAATACAACAACTGCATCTGGTTGCTCTCGTAGTTTTTCAGAATGCTCAATTGAGCAATAATTTTGTGCTCAAATGCTCGCCAAACTTCTACAGTAAGTGAACTTCTGGTTTGGTAGTACCTTTGTGATTATGTATGTTAGATTTTTCTTTGTATTTATCTTTAACAGAATATTATCATCACCAATCAAGCCCCAAACAAAATGGTACCTTACATCAATGTGTTTGGTATGAGCATGATGAACTAGATTTGCGGCAAAAAATATCGCACTCTAACTATCATAGAGCAATTTCAAAGAATCTTGATCAATTTTAAAGTCATCTAATAGACTCTACATCCATATCGCTTCTTTTATCACCTCTGTGACGATCATGTACTTGGTTTCCGTCGTAAACAAAACAACAATAGACTAAAGAATCGAATTCTAACTAACCAGACCTCTTGCTAATGTGAATAAATAGCCAGCCATAGACTTACACCTATCCATATCACTTGCATAGTCTGAATCAGTATGGCCTACACATAAATCAATAACTGACTAAACCTCTTATTAATGTAAGTAAATAATTCGTTGTAGAATTGTGCCTATTTATATCACATTCATAGTCTGAATTAGTGTAGCCTACATATAAAATAATAATAGATGACCGCCTTTCATGCACCAAGCCGACATCAGCTATACTCATCAAATACCTTAGAATACTCTTCACATCCTGTCAATTATTCATTCCTAGATCATACATGAACTTGCTCATAATACCAGCCGCTTATGCAATGTCTGGTTTAATACAAATCATAACATATATCAGGTTGCCTATTGTACTAGTATAAGGAACCAATCACATATAATTTCACTCCTATTCATCTTTAGTACATTAATATGAATTTAACTGAAAGTGAGATGCATTAGGTAGACTCACTGTCTTGCTCGAGTCATCTACCCTAACTGTTTAAGCACATTCCGACCATATGCTCATTGCATGAGTCAAACCATTATAACTATATTGTCCCTGAAATTTTCATGCAATGAATTTTGTGATCTTCACATAACTCCATCTCAAAATTTGGACAACTGTTTTATCTTATCAATCTCAATTTGGCTGACATGTGCAATCAACATGTCGTCAGCATATTAAAAAAATAGATCAACTCACCATTGATCAACTTTGTAAAATATTCATAATGATCGTTATGGTTTATTGTGCACTCTTGTCATATTATGAACTGATCAAACTTCTTATATTATTATCGCGTTGATTGTTTCAAACCGTATAAAGATTTGTCTAATCTGCAAACTAGGACTTTTGATATTCCATATTCTGGCGACTGCAACGTATAAATTTTCTCTTACAATTTCTTATGGAGGAACGCAGTTTTCACATCAAGCTGCTTTAAAATCAGATTGTACTGTGCTATAAGTGCTAAGAAAGCACCGATCAAGGAATAGTTGACCACCGAGGAGAAAACCTCATCATAGTTAATTCTTTTCAAACAAAGTCTTTTGTCACTAATCTTGTCTTGTACCATACACCAGCTCCATGAGATCCTTCCTTTTTCCATACACTCTTTTGCACCCATTGACTTTCCATCTTGGAGAAAGCTTCAGTAGCCTCTAGGTAGCATTTTATCGAGAGACTCTATCCCTCTTAAATGATCACCATCTGTGCTCTCCATTGATTGATTGTAGTGACAGAATTTTAGTCTCCATGGCTGAAAGTGTAAATGTAATGTGATCCTTATCCAAGTTGGTTTTGAGATATTATGGCGCTTGGTTTTGCTCATAGTATTAGATTCTTGATTAGGGATCTTAGCCTTAAATCTCTTTCCACCTCCTCCTGAGTAAGAGTGGACGAATTTTGTGGAACAAATGGGGTTTCATTATATTCTAAATTGTACTATATATTTGTGGTCCCAATAGAACTCTACCTATTTTGATTCCTGAGGTTTCAGCAAGTTCACCTCAAATATAATATTCCTACTTATGACAATATTCTTCTCTTTCGTATCGTAAAGTTCCCTTTACTTCAAGCCTGAACAAATGAAGATCACATTCTTTGCTTGTGGTTTTAGCTTATCATTTTTCACGTGGTAGTCTGCTGAACACCTAAATACTCTCATATGCTCATAATTTCTAGCATGATGCCCCGACGACATCTCCTTTGGAGTTTTCTTTCCAATGATTGCAGAAGACAAATAGTTCACCATGTGAGATTTATGGCCTATGGCTATGGCTTTGGCCTAATAGAGTATATCAAACCCAACATTGGACAACATGTACTAAATTTTTTCCGCCAAAGTCTAATTCATCGTCTCCGCCACCCCGTTCTGTTGCAGTGTTTCTCAAACAATGAAGTGATGTTTTATCTCAGTTCTTTGGCACTCTTGTAAGACCGCAATCGACATGCATTTGCCTTATTGTATGATCTGATACATCATATCTTTTTACTAGTACAAGACAGTCTCAATTCACTTCTTTCAAATTTTAAAAAGCTCTAGTACATCGCTCTTGCGTTTCGTGGTGTACACCCAAACATGTCTGAAATAATCATCGATAAAAGAGCTAAAATATCTTTGCCTGCCGAATAATGCTGTCTTCATCGGGCCTCAAATATCTCTGTGAATATACTTTAGAATACCGTTTGTAATGTGGATAAGAGTACCAAAGGATACCCACATCTTCTTGTCAAATACATAAGATTCATAGAAATCAAACTTGTTAATGCTCACTATTTTAATCAATCATTGTTTCACCAAAGTCTGAAGTGAAACATCTCCAGCATGACCTGCATATACCATAATATAATGGCATTAGAAGAATTTTCAATAACAACAGACTTTTTAGCACTGTGCTACCCTGAAGATCATAGAGATTGTTATGGAGAACTCCATTCATAAAAATCAGTGCTCCAAAATATATCTTCAGAACTTTTGTCTTAACAACTATTTTATAGCCCTTGATTTCTAAGGCCTCAACTAATAGCACATTCTTTCTGATATCCAAAACTTTTCTAACATCAGTCAGGTACCTCATAGCACTATCATGCATTATGGTAAAAATGTTGCTTATACCAATAGTATGACAAGCTTGATTATTGTTCATGGTCACTGCACTACTATCTAACTTCTTGTACGTACAAAACCATGGTCACTGCACTGCTATCTAACTTCTTGTACGTACAAAACCACGCGAGGGGGAAAACATAATAGAAATCACCTGTTTTTAGAGTTTAGGATCAATTGTATGTATACAAACTATGAGAAACAATTTATTTGAATTCGTATCATCACTCCTTTCCACAATAAGATTGAATTTAGTCTCAGAGAAAACTTCTTTTTTTTTTAACCTTGGACAATTGTTTTTTCAATGATCAATCTCTAAACAAAAAACACGCAGATTTTTTCTAAGACGGTGCCCACGAAACTTGTCTCGCTTTTGGGAAGTTTCGTTACTGTCACTTTTCTTTGTCCAATTTTCTTTTTTTTATATTTGTCATATTTGAGCGTAAGTATCTCAGCCAACTCCTTTGATGACTTGTTGTCCTTTCCACTAAACTCATGGTTCAACAGTCTTAGTCACCTTACCATAATTGAAGGTCTCTTCTCATGAGTGAGTGTCATCATGAAATTTCTAACTCATCCGGGAGCGAATTTAATAGAAGTATATTGTCTTCATCTTCAATCTCATGTTCAGGTTTTATAGATTTGTCAAAAATTTTGTAAATCATTCAAGTGCTCAAGCCATCTCACATCTCGTCTGAAACCTATAAAGTTAATACTTCATATAGAGACGATTTTTTACACCAACATCATCTTCAATTTTCTAGCAGAAGTCTCCACCATCATACCATATTTGATTTTCTGAGATAAACAATTTTAGATCATGTCACAAACATTTAGGTTCATCTTTAATCATTCTCTTTCTGAAATCTCTCTAGGACATTCATCACTATCAATAAATTTCTTAGATTCAAAGTGCACAACGCATTCATTACGTCGCTTTGCCACATGCGAAAGTTTCTCTTGTCGTCAAATTTCGTCGCCTTGATCTTGAAGAGATACATAAGCACCTAATGAATCAACATCTGCTTTTATCCATGGCTCCAATTCTCATAGCCCAATTTGCTTCGATCTTTTTGTTTTGCGTTCATGACTTCACAAGGAACCACAGGCGTCGGTCGTTGGAATTTTCAATCCGTCTATGATACTAATTGTTGTGCTAAATAATGTGAAAAACTCAATTTTTATTCTTCTTCTTAGATCTCTCACATTGGAGTTTAAGTGCCTCAACCGACTCCATCTTTGAGGACTCCTTATCCCTTCCGACCAAAATCATGGTTCAATGGTGTTATAGTCACTTTACCATAATTTAATACCTCTTCTCATGAATGATTTTCATTGTGAAATTTATATACTCATTAATAGAAGAAGTGGGTCTTCATCTGCAATCTTTTAATTCAGGTTTAACAGATCCGTCAAAAAGTTTGTAAAATCATTTAAGTGCTCATCAATTGTTACCTCATGTCTCATCTGAAACCTGTAAAGTTGACGCTTATATGGAAACAATTCTTCACGCTTTTTGTGAGATATTTGTTTTGTAACATCCTCTTCAATTTTTCAGCAGAAGTCTTTATCGTCACTCTATATTTGATTTTCTGAGATAAGCAGTTTCGGGTCATCACAAGCATTTTGGTTCATATTCAATTAATCTCTTTCTGACATATTTCAAGGAGATTCATTGCTATCAATAATTTTCTTCAGATTCAAAGAGCACAATGCATCCGTCACTTCGATTCGCCAAATGTTAAAGTTCCTTTGTTGTCAAATTTCGTTGCCTCGATCTTGATGAGATGCATAACCACCTGATAAATTGACGTCTACAGTTATCCATGGCTCTACTAGATCTCGTAGCCCAACTTGCTTCGATCTTTTTATCTTGCGTTCACGACTTCATGGATTTGCAACCACGCGTCATTGGATTTGTCAATCCGACTCTCTGATACCAATTGTTGTGCACAAAAATGAGGAAAACAAATTGACACAACAAACAAACAAACAACCGATAGCAATATTATTTACGTGGTTTGGCGTACGTCCATGGGGAGATATTATTCCAGTATCAACAGGTGGGGAGAAAGGAAAAATCGGACAAATTACGGTTACAATTCAAAACGCACCAAATCCTTCATAATCCCCCCTATAACTAAGATTATGACATTACAAATTAGGAATAATTCAAATATAAGAAAGATGATGTAATTTAGATCTGTTTTATTTAAATTTCATTATCTAGAAAAGATCATATAATTAGATGTCTTCAAATTCGGTTGCTAAATATTAATAATCTTAACATACACACTTCCTAGTTTACAACTATGAGAAAACCAAATGTGGATTTGCGTATTTGGGCTTTTGGATGTTTCAGTTGGAGAACTCTAATGCTTAGTTAATTTGCACATGCTGCAGATGCTTACTCTCATGGATGCCTTGCTCCATGCTTCCAAGTGTGGCACTCGTACCTGCGCTTACGCGCATTGCCATCGCCTCAAAGTCCTCTTCCATCACGGCGTCACCTGCATCATTCGAAAGCAAGGCGGCTGCAAACTCTGTGCAAAAATGTGGCTTCTCATTTCTTCGCACGCTCTTTACTGCCGTGACCTGGAATGCGCCGTCCCTCGTTGCAAGTAAGTGCCTCCACCACATGCTGCTCGCACGCTCCTCTTCTGCTCAGCTTCTAACCAACCACACCATGTTTTCATTGTTTACAGAGATATGAAAGGCTCATTTGCACTAACTAGAGTCAGGTGTTCGGAGCGGGAAATCAGACCGCTGCCGGAAACCGATGTTTGTATGACTGATGCCTGATCATCAAGTCATCACAAAATCTTTGTACATGCAATTTTTCTCCATTAAATTTGGTTCTTTTGAGGTGCTGGAAGAGAGCAGATAAGGCAATTGTATAGCCGCCAAATTCCTAGTTTCTAAGGCTGGTTCCTGCCTCATGAAGTAATGAAAAGCCTGTGAAGATCTTACCATAGGTGAAAAGATGACTGATGAGCAGGGGCTCAAACCTTCCATTCTTCTTATAGTTTGAGCAATAAGTCTAAGAGCCCAACTTGGTAGAAAACCATGTTAGTGGTTGGGAGCTGATTGCATTTATATATTGACTAAAGCAGTCATATTTGTTAAAGTTCTGCTGTTTGTTCTGTTCAATTTCATTAAATTTCAGATTCTTACATCTTACTCCCAGTGTTGTTATTTTCTCCTTTGTTTTGTTGCATATGGATCTTGGAATGACAGGCCTGTGTCTGACATTTGCTTTATTACATATCTAACCCTTGATTTTTTTCTTTTTTGTATTTATGTTGCCTGAAGGCTTTTTTATCACCAAAAATTGCAATATTTGAATTTTTAGGTAGTGAAATGCACTTTTTCATGCCCAAGTTAGATGGTATGTAAAAATTAAATTTTGGGTGTTGGATATGTAAATGCATTGGAATTGAGTTGGTATGTATGCAAATGTTTATTTTACATATTAAGTGCTCCGGTTGATGACAGCGTTTATTCAACATAATTTATTAATTTAATGCTGTGGAATTTAAAATTTATTTATATTTATGAGTTATTTAAAATTATTTATTTTTATGTATTAATATCTTGTTTTGCTTATTTTAATTCAAACCAAAGATATTTAGTTGGATTTTTTAAATATTTAAAATTTATTCTGATTATAAAAGTTATTTTTCTTTTTGTATTTAAAAGTTATTTTGCTCACTCAATTCAAAAAAGTTTGAATAAAAATTACATGATATGTAATTTCTTATATTTAGTGGGGCATTGATTATAAAAGTTTTTTTTTTTTTTTGTATTTGAAAGTTATTTTGCTCACTCAATTCAAACAAAGTTTGAATAAGATTTACATGATATGTAATTTCTTATATTTAGTGGGGCATCTCTAAGAAAATCCTTGCCAGCATATAATTACATATATTATACTTTTTAGTAATTTTTTTTTGATTGATTTGGCTCGTATTATTGAGTCAATGTCGAACTGAATATAACCGTGATAGGGTTGGTGTAGCTCCTGTGACAGCATATAATTACATATATTATACTTTTTAGTAAATTTTTTTTTTATTTATTTGACTCGTATTATAGAGTCAATGTCGAAATGAATATAACTATGATAGGGTTGGTGTAGCTCCTGTGGTAGACAAAATTAGAGAAAGTCGTCTTAGATGGTTTGGTCACATTAAACGTCGACCATCCGATGATTCGATTAGGAGAGTAGATGTTTTAGATTCGACTTCTGTTAAGAAAGGCAGAGGTAGACCTAGGAAGATTTTAATTGTATTAAAAATAATCTTAATTTACTAGAATTAAATGAAAATATGACACTCAATCCGACACAATGGAGAAAAAGAACAATATGTGCATCCTTTATAGGTCACACATAGTAGGATTAAGGCTTTATTGTTGGTGGTGTTGGTGTATTATAGAGTCAATTTCAAACTAATAAATTCAATAGTGAAAGGAGAATTTTAACAAAATCTATCTCCCATTTTTTTTTTGTAATTTGCACAATTATAAATAGCGAGCAAATTTTCTTCTATAATAATTAGGGCATTTACATTACCACCCAATTCCTATGTATTTACATGTCTAACATCTTCACTTTACGTGTTTTACGTATAAACCACTCGAATCTTTCATATTATATAAATAAATACCACCATTTTAACTTTTAAAAGTGAAATACACCTTTTTGAAATACCCCTTTTCAAGCCAATCTAAGGCTGAACATAGTAAAGATTGAAATTTTAAGTATTAGATATGTAAATACATAGGAATTGAATCAAGCCTATCTAAGGCGGAACATAGTAAAGATTGAAAATTTAAGTATTAGATATGTAAATACATAGGAATTGAATGGTATGTGTGTAAATCTTCCTTATTTGTTATACTAGGTTGAACAAGCTAGCAACATGAATTATATATGCTATTTTAATTCAGGTGTATCAGATATTTGCAAGTTTAGTGATAATTTTATAATAATTAGGAGTTTCTCAACTCCTGAAATATAAATATTAAGAGCATATTTGGGTTTGAAGTTTTTTAAAAATATGATTATAAAGTTGTTGTGGAGAAAAAAACTTAGAAATTCATGGTGTGAATTATAATATATATATATTAAAAAAAACAAACTGCTACAGTCTTACAACCGCTACACTTCAACAAATTATGTTGAAAAAAACAGCTTCCCACTACAACAATTTCTAGAAAGCAACAAGTAAACAGTTTCCCAAACAGAACAGTATAACAACCTGAAATGCAAAACAAGCATAGAACTGTACAGTATAACAACCTGAAATGCAAAACAAGCATAAAACTGTCCCAAACGGAGCCTAATATGGACTCGTTCCAACATATAATTTTCGGCAACTTTTTCTTCATCTATAATAAAATGTTCCACAATATGGACTTGTTCCAACATATAATTTTCAGCAACTTTTTCTTCATCTATAATAAAATGTTCCACAAAAACAAATAGGTAAATAGAACATCTGAACTAAAATCATCTATCAATTTTCTTTTGCAAGATCACAATTTATTTTCATTATACAAAGAAATCAACATCAAGTAGCTTCATAAATCTACATCATCAAATTTTGATAGATTTTTAAGAAAAAAACATAGTGCACAAAGCAGGAGAATTAACAATCACCTCTACGAATACCCATCTCTTCTATCCTGTTCCTCAGCTTCCTTGTTTGCAGCCTGAACAGATTTGAACCATAGAAAGGCCTGCAACAAACAAAAAAGAAGCACATTAGAATCCATGGAAACAAGAGAACATACTCTCCAGAAATGAAAACTCACAGATGTCGGAATCCCCGTGAATGCGAAGAACCCAAGCAATGGTGCGTAAAATATACTGTCCGAGCTCAAGATGCCGAAAACCGGCCTTTGATTTACATACTCAAACATGGAACCAATCTGCACAAACATGGCTCAAAAAGATAAGTGAAATTTACATTCATAGCAGTATTATTTTTGATGTGATATTAAAGATTTAGTATAGGTTTGAGATATATAAATACATAAGAGTTGTGTGCTATGCATGTAAAATAAAAAAACTCATGTGGTCTAGACTGCAACAAGCATGAAGAAGCAATACCGCGGCAATAGCAGTGACAGCAGATGCCAATAGATAGGCATAGAAGGGGATCACAAATGGCGGCCGAGCTGCGCTCCCAACACCTTCATCATGAGCCCAAGGTGGCGGCTCATCCGAGTCAGGTTTTGCCCATGATGGAACTTTGTCGTCCCCAGACCTCGACTTTGCAGAACCTTCAGTAACAGCTAATACAACGAGCCTGTGATGCGATGCACCTGCTTTCAAACAGGCATGCTTCCTTCCACCCTTTATATTACAGCAATGTTCCATGTATTTGAGGGGAATGAGTTTATGTAGCCCAGTGTGTCTTAGAGGGCTCTGCATTACTATAGCAGAAAGCATGTTTGAAGCGCAAAGTGATATTACTGCAGCCATTTTTCCTTTCCTCTCTATAGTTTGTACTTAGGAAAAGAAGCAAAATAATCCAAGTTAACAGAAAATAGAAAAAGATTTAACTCCAATAGCGACAGAAAATAGACAAAAGGAGAAGTTGCTTTCAGTCATAACTGAGTCCCCTTTGTAGGAGTGCCATCACTAAGAAAATTGTTAAGAAGACCTGCATTGCCCAATAAATAAAACAAAGCAATTTAAAACCTGTCAATCAGTGCTTGCAGTGTGATTCAATGTGATTTTAGATCTAAGGTATTTGCTGCATTAACATCCATCACACCACGTAAGAAATGCAGCACAAGATGATTGTTCTTCACCAGAGTTAAATGGATCCCAATGATACAGTTTTTTTAAATATAATTGTTTTCAGAGAACTCGATTTTTCAATTTAAAGATGGGGGTAAAGTGCTAAAATACTCCCTTGACTATCTATATGGGGTCATTTTAATATCAAAATATAAAAAAAATACTAAACCAGTCCTCAGACCCTATAAATTGGAGTTGAAAGTCCGTCGTTCGTCGTTTAGATTATTTCAACTCATATTAAAAACTTTTAGAACTAAATTGGCTCTTTTATCGACTGTAAGCATAAAAATCCCATGTAAATAGTTTGGCAGGGGAGTAAAATCGGGTTTGCGGGTCAAGTTTAGGTCTAGCCCGAAATTGATCTCATTCGAACTGTTTCACCTTAACCCAACCTAAATATTAAACATGTCAAAAAGGACAACCTGAACCTAACCGACCTTCAACATGTTAGCCCGAACCCGACCGGTCTAACCCGTTTAATATAAGACATAGTAGCTATTTGGGACAAATTTGAATTGATTTCGAGACAATCTTGGATCAATTTCGGGTTGGGTGGTCAATTTTGAGTCAATTTATTGTTAGCGGCTTAGGTTTAGATTAATTTCGGGCTGGTGGGCCAACCTAAACTCGACAAAAACATTCCTTACTCGAACCCTATTTGAAAATTATTCGAGTCAACCCAAACCAAGATTTTTTTAGTTGGGTTCAGAATGAGTTGGCACATCGGGTCAACTTTTTGACACCTCTACAATAACGGGACTATTTTGACACTTTACTCTTAAAGATGACTAGGTACTCTCATGATGAAATATCTTCCCAGAGCAAGAAACAGAAGGCACTAACCTTTATCCTTATTTTTTTTCAATTTCTTCTATTTATTCATATAAATGGAATCATCAAAAGCTGTCCTCTTTAGCTGAACCGTCGTTTAGATTATTTCAACTCGTATTAAAAACTTTTAGAACTAAATTGGCTCTTTTGTCGACTGTAAGCATAAAAATCCCATGTAAATAGTTAGGCAGGGGTGTAAAATCGGGTTTGCGGGTCAAGTTTAGGTCTAACCCGAAATTGATCTCATTCGGAACTGTTTCACCTTAACCCAACCTAAATATTAAACATGTCAAAAAGGACAACCTGAACCTAACCGACCTTCAACATGTTAGCCCGAACCCTACCGAACCCGTTTAATATAAGACATAGCAACTATTTGGGTCAAATTTGAATTGATTTCGAGACAACCTTGGATCAATTTCGGGTTGGGTGGTCAATTTTGAGTCAATTTATTGTTAGCGGGTTAGGTTTAGATTAATTTAGGGTTGGTGGGCCAACCTAAACTCGACAAAAAGATTCCTAACTCGAAACTTATTTGAAAATTATTCGAGTCAACCCAAACCAAGA